GATATACACTAAACCATTCAGGCCTTACAACAACGAGACTTTATAAAATGCAGAGGTGCCATGCAAAACCAATAACTTTATTCCAGGGGCTGAGACTCTGCCTGGGGAGATAGACCATTCGACTCTGTTTTCTCCGCAACGTACTTACAAAAATAAAATAAAACTGGAAGAAGCGTACTAACCAATCACCACGAAGTGAAATGAAGGACAAACATCCAAAATTAAAGTAGTGGACCCTATCACAAGAAAGGACCACTCGGAAAATTAAGCAATAGGTTATAGCCATAGTTGAAAGTGAGAATAGGAGTTATGAAAGCACTACACGAGATCGGCACCAGAAACATCATAATGGAATTATATCAAAGAGAGCGTTGGTGAAGCTATACACTCAGCCGGAAAAGAAGTCATATCCGAAAAAAGACCAGTAAAAGTACCGACATTGCAGCATTACAAAAGTGGGATGACAGTCGAGATTCTAAATGCTTATGAGAAAAAAGCAATCTGAAGTCTTCAATAAGAAGAGCAGCCAAGAAGTAGCAGAAGATACAGTAGACACGTGGCAGGATTAAATAAAAATGTAGACTAGAAAAGAAAAGACTCCGTGGTATATGCTGAAGAAAATGCGAAGAAATTGAAGAGATGGGAAAGATAGAAACACCACCAATAATGGCATTCAATGAATACAAGAAATAATGGGCGATAAAAGCATGCTCATCTTATTCAGGTTGTATAGTAAAGCAAAAAATGGCGTACTCCATTCAATTCGCGTACAGAAATTTCAAACAACTCTAGTGAAAGATCTTGGACCGGGAGTTATATTGGGGAATTGCTTTTCCAAGCTAATCAGGGGCGAAGAGAGCCAGTTATTAAAAAAAACATCGATGTCCGGAGAGATTCTAATATTCAAAGGTGCGCACGGCCGGATGGTCGAATGAGTACTGGAAAAATCAACAAAGCGGGCAGGACCAGATTGAGATCGTGGGCAGAACATGCTATCTAGCATTGGACGATTTATCAATTTGGTTCTTATATTGACCGCCCGGGCTATTCCATGTCCATAACCTCCTTTGATGATGTTTAAACCATGTGTTGGTAATGATTTGTCCGTTTGTTTTGCACCATTGAGCCCATCTTTCACCACGTTCATTTTGTATTCCAAGGCCATGTTTTCCGATTACTTCTCCATCTGCTTCTTGACCAACTTTAGCATTTAGATCTCCCATTATGATAACAATTTCTTGAGACTTACAATGTGATTTTGCTTCCTCTAACTTGTTGTAGAATGCTACGATTTCCTCCTCACTGCTTTCCGATGTTGGCGCATACACTATAATGATAGATATGTCGAAAGGTTGCCCCTTTAGCTTGACTAGAATAACTCTGTCTGAAATAGCCCAGTATCCCATCAGGCATTTTCTCTTTTTTTGTCGAGAATGATCCCAACCCCTCTCTGATGTGTTTCACCTCCGGAGTGTATGATTCTGTAATCATCAGATTGAAAATCCGTTGAGCCTTTGTTATCCCATCTTGTTTCGCACACTCCGAGTATATGGATATCCAATCTGGCCATCTCTTGTGTAACGTTCTCCAGTTTTCCACTTTGGTACAGAGTTCTGACATTCCAGGTACCAATTCTGATGGATTCATTATTGCGCACAGTAGATTGATGACGGTCCGGAGCCACCTGTCGCACATGGACAACCTTACCGAGCGAGGCACCAGTATCTAAGGATACGGTCCCCTTAACGCTGTTATCTTTTTTCTGTTGTTTGTGCATGATCCATGGTTGTTCTTGGCATAATAAGACAGTGGTTTGCCAGGGCCTTCTGAATAGTGTTTTTAAAGGGACACCATCCCTCTTTCCAGGAATTCTTCCGCCCGAAGCCGTTGATCCCCGAAGTCGTAGCTCTTCCGCCATCATCACCGGTCTCCCGCCGAATCCGCCGTTGGCCATCGCTCGTAACCCTGAGCTAGGGAACCCTTACCAGGTACTATCAGCCGGGTCAGACTGGACCTGTAAGCTAGTGGAGGGAAGGGACGCTTTAATTCCCCATTCATGTCCTGTCGGAGCACGCCACTGCCC